TCCGTGGCAGTGTTCAAGGCCAGGTTGGACACAGGGGCTTGGAGCAACCTGCTCTAGTGGAAGGTGTCCCTGCCCGTGGCAGGGGTTGGAACTGGAGCAGCTTTAAGGTCCCTTCAACCTAAACCAGTCTACAATTCTGTGATTACTAACATTTGTAAAACCATTAGGATAAATCCTCAAGGAAATCTATAGGTTAAACTCAGTCCTCCAAAGCCAAAAGTGATGGCCACAGCCTTGCTGGGCGAGGGACAGGTGCTCAGCCTGAATGGCCTCATCCTTACCCAGTGCCTCCAATTCCTGAGCGACTTCCTTCCACACGGGCTCCGATGGCCACAGCCTTGCTGGGCGAGGGACACGTGCTCAGCCTCAATGGCCTCATCCTTACCCAGTGCCTCTAATTCCTGAGCGACTTCCTTCCACACGGGCTCGATGTGGATGCAGCTGAAGCACCAGTCCGAGGTGATTTTAATGAGGTAAGGTTTCTTGAAGCTGTCCGGCACGATTTCATTGATGTAGTGGGAAAAGTGCAGCAGATACTTCTCGTTGGAGGTGTCACGCCTCTCCGAATTGAAAGGGAAGTGGAAGAAGGACTCGTCGAAATAGAACCCTTCATGGAAGCGGTGGAACTGGCGCTGCTGGTGCTGAGAGAAGCCCTGGCTTTCCCCAGCATCTCCGTAGCGATCAAAGTTTGCCCTCTTCTCCTCATTGGAGAGGATCTGGGAAGTAAAGGATACAGGAGCGGTTGGCTGACAGCATGAGGGGAAGCACATCCACAATAACCTCTTAGGAACTAACTGCAGCTGTGTAAGGATGGGCAATGAGGGAAGCTGCAGTCTCTGTCATCAGAAGGATAAATGTGCTGGGAAAGGGGAACTACTGCAAAGGGGAACTCTGGGCTTGCTGTGGTAAATAAGAGTAAAAGCCTGGCAAAAAGGAGCCTGTGAACCAAGGCTGCTCTGCTGCTCCTGAATGTCACGCTGCCTGAGCATTAATGCTCTTTTCTGGAGCAGCTTTTGCTGGCATCTGCTTGACCGTGGAGGGTTTTCTCAAGGCATCGTTGGGAATGACATCTCATTGCATCCTCTGGCAGCGAGCAAAGTTTCCTGCAGAGAAACTGCATTTTTCAGCTGGGAGACAAGGCTTTGCTTTTATTTCCATGGGCTCCACTCGCTTGCCATGGACATACTGAGTCACTGTGCCAGAGCAATGTGTAAATTGCTACTTATGCAAAGGATAATTTGAAGTGACTAAAGCCCTGCAGTGATTCAAGTTGCTTACATCATCCCCAAATGCTTAGATGTATGTGTGACATGGACAGCACGGCTGCCCAGCTCCTTTGTGCTCAGTGAATACCTGCTCTGCCCTCGTTGGAGGTGTTTGAGCAAGAACAGGGCAGACCTGGAGTAAAATATTTGTAAGAGAGGCCACACTGGCGATGTCCAGTGGCTCTCTGTTGGGACAGCAGAGGATGCTGTCAACAGCAGCTAGCTCCACAGGGCTGAGTGTCTTTCCCATGCAGACATACCCAGAAAAAGCAGGTCACTTCACTTCTAATGACAGTGGGTGTTTAGAGACAAGAGTGTGTTACCTCGTAAGCCTTGCTGATCTGGATGAATTTGTCCTCTGCTCCCGGGTCCTTGTTTTTGTCAGGGTGCCTACGAGGCAGAACCAGAGGAAAAAGGGGTCAGTGGTGCCCCCGGGGGCGCAGAGCAAGTCACCATCCTTGGTGCAGCAGCATCCCCTGAGGCTGAGATGGGGTTTTATACCTGGCAGGTGCTCTCCCTGCCCAAATCCCCATCCCGAAACACGGCAGTGGGACACATGCTGTGTGCCTGCAGACCTGTCCCTCCATCTGATCCCTCCCTGTGACAAGGGACTGTGTATGTGTCCCACTGCTGCTGCCCTATGTGTTTGTTGTCTTCTTCCTGGAAAACACCTCCTGCCACAGCCCTCAGAATCACAGAATCAACAGGATTGGAAAACACCTTTCAGCTCATCCAGTCCAACCTTTACC